CTTGGAAATTGGAAAATTGAGTTTAATAAAGAAATAAAGTGATCCAGGAAGAGGAATGAAAATAACCGACATGTGTTTGGTCATGTGACCACGCTGCGTGCGCAAAGCGACGTGCGTGACGTCACGTGCAAGCCTTCGCCAGTTTCCTCGAGCAGCAAACCTTCAGTATAACTGATATTTGTGATAAAAACTGAGGGAGCTGTTCTCAGGACGAGCCGACAGACACGAACCACCAGAAGCGTCGCGGTTGTAGCCGAGCCGAGCTGCTGCTGTAATGGAACCCCATCTGTAAGCGAAGAAAACGGCGACGTTTCCCGAGTTTAAAGCCTCAGAAAAGCCTGTTTTTGTCTCTTCTTGCACTGGCTGTCGGAAGGCGGGGAATACAAAGCGACGTGAGCTAAAAAATCCACAAGAAATTGGACCCGCTGAAACCAAAACGGGATTATTCGAAAGCCTGGTCGTGCTGCTGTAACCGCTCAGCGATAGTACATGGATTATCTGGTGAGTGGACCAACTATCAGCGCTGCTTTCTGCTTTTGTTCATCAGACACAAGCTCTAGCTCCGTTCTTCTTCTTCTGTTGTCATGTCAACAGTTAGGTTTAGGTTTTAGTTCTATAAACATTTAGTTTTTGGGTCAAGCCTGTTCCTCATCTGTCTTTTCTGTGTTTACTCGTCAAACGGGATGAATCTGCATACTGACATCTGAATCTTCTCTGTTTTTGCACGTGTGTGTGTGTGTGTGTGTGAGATTGACCGATGTGGGTCTTTCTATTGCTGATACCGATATGTTGAGGTCAGGGTCGGCGGATGGCCGATATGTGCTGCCAATTTTTTGGGCCAATGATCACGGCCGATGTTTAGACATTCATATATTATCTGCACTCCAAAATGTCTCTAATGCCAACTTTTGTTAACGCAGAATTTAACCAACTGCAGAATTGTCCCGTTCTGATATTGATATCAGCATAGGTCCAATATCGGCTCCAAAAAACTTGTCGTTGTCGTCGTCTTCCTCCGCTTATCCGGGTCCGGGTCGCGGGGGCAGCATCCCAACTAGGGAGCTCCAGACCGTCCTCTCCCCGGCCACCTCCACCAGCTCCTCCATCAGGACCCCAAGGCGTTCCCGGACCAGATTGGAGATGTTACCTCTCCAACGTGTCCTGGGTCGACCCGGGGACCTCCTGCCGGCAGGACATGCCCGAAACACCTCCCCAGGGAGGCGTCCAGGAGGCATCCTGACCAGATGCCCAAACCACCTCAACTGGCTCCTTTCGATCCGGAGGAGCAGCGGTTCTACTCCGAGTCCCTCCCGAATGTCCGAGCTCCTCACCCTATCTCTAAGGCTGAGCCCGGCCACCCTACAGAGGAAACTCATTTTGGCCTCTTGTATCCGCAATCTCGTTCTTTCGGCTCCAAAAAACTATCAGATTAAATCGAACAGCATCAAAAATCTAAATACAAGCAATCTATTCCACTTTCCATTCCAGCAATTCTATCCTGCAGCGCCCAGATCCGGCATGCAAAGCCCACATGATCAGAACAGTGCTGCTAGAAAAGTAGCAAGGAACAATAGTGACGTCAGCTGTGTGGCAGTATTTGTGGTTCAAGTCAGAAAAAGACCGTGTGGCTGAATGCAACACTTGTCATGCACACGTTTCCTGTGTAGCAACAGAACCGGGGAAGTTTAATACATCCAACCTCATCACACATTTCAATCAGGATCACAAAACGTTGCAGGAGGATTTTGGCTTTGTGTGAAATTGAAACTTTGGACACTCAACTTGTAGCAGTTGGTCAGGGAACAATATTGTCTTTTCTTCTTTTGTCCCTGCCTTCAGCTGTTTCTATCATTTGATGACAGTTAAAATAACTAGTTTATTCATTTGTTGTACATTATGTTTAAGAATTACATTTCTAAAACCAGTGATTAAGAAAAAATTGGTCAGTTGTTTCACAGTTATTGTTGCTGGCTTTTGTTCTCTGAGTAATATCACTTGATCGAGTCTTTCATACGTCCCGCTCTATGAGATTGGTTAACGTAAGCATGACTTGTGCTGATTAGGTATCGGATTGATTTCGATATCGGTCAGCACAGAAGGTAGGGATGCACCGATACAATACTGGTACCGGTATCGTATCGGTTTGAAAAAAAGTGGTATCAGTGCATCCCTAACTGAAGGCTGTAATATCGGTATCAAATCGGAAGTGAGAAAGTTGTACGGGGCATCCCTACTTAAGGGTGTGGGAAACCTGATTGATCAACACATTTGCAGTGGACCCTAGTAGGAATTAATGCCTTGCAAGTCGTACTAATGGCAATAAAGCCCAGAACTGCTCGTTTCAGCGCCAACAAATGTGGCAGCAGACAGCCGGATTTAGTCTTATTTCCTGATAGTTGGACTTCTTGCCGCGGATTGGATAACGGTAACGTGACTCTACCGCTGACTTGCAACGTGGATGTTTTATCTCCACATATAACACAAGCCTGAAGGAGTTTTTCTGTGTGGTGGTGTTGCTAATGCTAACGGTTAGCTTTTACTGTTAGGGACGTTGTCTGCTGATTTCTGGATGTAACAACAACAGCGTAGTAGTGAAAAGGGCTTGTGATCATGACTTCATCACCAAAGCAGCCGCCCCGTTGGAGGCGTGTGAGTCCTTACTTGTTGCTCGTTACTACTGTAAACCGCGCGCTCGGTCTCGTTCTTGCGGCTTAAATCAATCTGTTATTCATTTGATATTGCACAACTCTAGTAAGTCATTGCTGTGTTGTGGGGTGACATGTGATCGCCAGGGGAATAAAGGTGGAAAACAAGCTAACTTTTCACCGTTTTCCTGCTTGGAGGCAAAACCATGGAGACCAAGTATCTAGCATAACAAAGTCTTGTTGGCTCACTTGGTTTGCAGCTATGAGGCGACTAAACATCGCCTTCAGGAGTATTTTCATTCTGGTAAGTTACAGATCCCTCAACCGCAACACACACACACACACACACACACACACACACACACACACACACACACACACACACACACACACACACACACACACACACACCACACAACCACTCCTGCTACACTTCTATGGGATGATTTTGATCGTTTTACTAGAAAAAACAACAAATTAAATGTTTACCTCTCATCTGAACGTTTACGTCCGCTCACACCACAAACAAGTTAGCCGAAAATGTCCGTCATGCAGAACTGCAGCGGTAACAATACGTCATTGGTGCTCCAGTCTTGGGTCTTTCATATGGATCAGAACCATTTATAATGCTGATTTAGTCCACATACCGGTCCCCAACGTCTTCATTGAACCTATCCCTGTTTATTCCGCATCCTTTTTGGGATTTTATAATGTTGTCCAACACTTTCTTTCACCCAAATCCACTTCTTCTCTGCGACAGTACTGTTTGTTTCACGGTGTGTTTACACTCGTCAAGCTTCCAACTAGGGATGCACCGATCAGGTTTTTTGCTGCCGATTACAAACTACATAATCTGGGAATAAAGGAAATGTAACCTAATCTAAAATGGTCTGTATTAGGGTTGTCACGGTGTGAAAATTTAACCTCACGGTTATTGTGACCAAAATTACCACGGTTTTCGGTATTATTGCGGTCTTTTTTTTAAACGTGTTACATTTTCACACAATTAAATAAACCCTGTAGGTCAGGAAATATTGTCCTCAGTTTGTGTCTAAATTTTGCCTAAAATGTGTTATTTTGTAATTATGTTGTTTATTTGTTTACATTTTTTCCCCTTTAGTCTTTAAAATACCAATATTTGCCCATAACTTCTTATTTTATGTCTGTTTGATGTCATCATTTAAAAATATTAGACCAGATGAATGATACTCAGTACTCAAGTAGCCTTCTAATCAGATACTTTTTTACCCTTACTTGAGTAATAAACCCTATATCAGGAAAATATTGTCCTCGGTTTGTGTCCTTCCAGTGAGCTTTGCAGATGTGGGAAAATGTCATCAGGCAGTAATCGTTGTTAAATTCATAATTATTCTCGGAGAGAGACCAACTCTTATCTGCCCCTGGGAGCCCCGTAATGCGTAGCGTCATTTCAACATGGCGGTGTCCGCGACACGGTTTATATGCAGGTAGCGGCGCTGCGGCTGCTTTACATAGCGACTCGTTGCATTCTCCCTCAACCCAAATCCTCGGATCACGCATTTTAGCTAAAACGCTAACGTTAGCTTGTCTTGCATTGACTGTAGAGTTGTGGGTGATGGTCACGCAGATGTGTCATGAGATTTGAAGCGTTGCTGCCTTTCACACACACTTTTTCTGCACGTGCTGCAAACAGGATAGCCGTCTTCTATCAACTGTCCCTCGGCATTCTTCACATATCTAAAAGATGCCCGTACTTCCGACTTTGTCTTCTTTGAGGGATAATAAATGTCCTCCTGAGCGCTGCCGTCTCCTCCTTTGACCATTATTTCAGCTTTAGCTTCAAGAAAGTTTTGTTGTAAACAAAGCGTGCATGTGCCGCCGGCAACTTCAGCCGATGATACGGTGGCTGGTAAGGGTCACCGCGCCTACACCGCAGCCACGGTAAACCCACCAAGATAATATAGTTTTTTTAAAAACAAGACGGTTATTATTGTCAACTTTTTTTCTTTTTTTTTTTACCGGGGTTTAGCGCTACACTGGTTACCGTGACAACCCTACCTGATCGGTCTGCTTTGATCTATTTTGAAAATTCCGATCAAAACCGATAGGGGCGCTATCGGCCGATTACGATCAAATGCCGATCCATCGGTGCATCCCTACTTCCAACATGGCCGCGCACATCCCAGAATGCTATGCGTAATCATATAAAGATTGGGGAGTCCATGGATGTTGTGTGACATAGATCTGTCAGGCTTTTCAAATACTAGAGTTTCACCATCTATTTTCTATCCATCCATCTTCTGAACCCGCGTTGTCCACGCAGGGTCGCTGGGGTGGGGTGGGGGGGGGGGGGGGGGGGGGGCTGGTGCCTATCTCCAGCAGTCAACAGGCAATTAGGCGGGGTACACCCTGGACAGAGAGCCAGTCCATCACAGGGCAACACAGAGACACAGGACAAGCAACCATGCACACTCACACCTAAGGACAATTTAGACAGACCAATCAACCTAACAGTCATGTTTTTGGACTGTGGGAGGAAGCCGGAGCACCCGGAGAGAACCCACGCATGCACAGGGAGAACATGCTAACTCCATGCAGAAAGATCCCAGGCCGGGAAGCGAACCCAGGACCTTCTCGCTGCAAGGCAGCAGCTCTAACCACTGCGCCACTGCGCAGCCCACATCTATTTTCTATCAGAAGTTAATGCAGGAGACAGGTGTAGGAGACTATTTTCATGATCAGCCCGCTTGAAAAACTCAGAATGACTGATTATAACCAGAACAAAAGACATTTACAAACTGTTTTTCACTCAACCACACCTTTAATTCAGTGCACAGTATTAAATTTAGGTTAATTGTTTGATTTTATCAAACAAATCAAGAAACTGACCAAATACTAAATATAAAACTTATATAAAAAGAAATGTCAGTTCACAATAAAGTTTTATTACACATTTGTTTTTCAGGATCACAAATGAACATTTAAATATAATTCCCCAACAGCGCCAGGCTGCCCACAGATGTGCCTGACTTAAAATCAGCTCCACTGAAAATACATATCAGCTGGTGCAATATATGTATATATAAAATACTGGCTGACCGATATATCAGTCTATCCCTAATAAATATAGGTGTCTTTTTTATGATTCATGTGACTAAAAGACTCTTAAGTCCCAGGTTATAGTCCCACCTTTAAGTCTGGACATCATGGATTTTTGGGCCTTTGCCCACTTTCTCCAGGTCGGATGGGTGCTGCAGAAACAACAGCAACAGTCACAATAGGGAGGAAGTTGTAAATGAAGGCTTTCCTTGAGAAATCCTACAACCACATGCAAAAATGGATGCATATTGTGCTGTCAACTCACAAGAGGGACACAATGTGAAGTACGGAGGGACTTGCCCACCCAGTGTTATCAGCTTGTTTATAAATGGGCCTCCCAAGATGTGAAACCTGAAATGAGCTTTGAACTTTGGCATCACTGGATTAGTTCTCCAACCAGTGTTGTCTGGTGGTAACTGCTCACTCTTGCATCCTGTTGAGCACTAAAATGGGGCATTCATAGTTAACACGAGTTATTATGCAAACTCTGTGAAATGTGCATGGAAAATTTCTCGATGCCAAAGGGTAAACTTGTGCAGACGCTTGTCAAAAACAGGCCCCCGTGTGACATGAAATAGTTGGAACAAGCGTGTTTTTTTCCTGCATGATGTGCCGTTACACAAGGTAAAACAAACAACCATTTCCTGCATGCTTTGGTCGGATGTGAGATTTGACTTGTTACCATTTACACGTTTGAGGGATTTTAGATTTTATGTGTTGACTTTGTGTGGAAAGCTCAGCGGTAACCCTGTGGAGAGCTGGAGCGGAGAGTGTTTAAGCGTCCTCTTGAGGTCAGGCGCTCAGTAGGCGCTGGGCCTCCTTTCCTGCTGTGGAACACTGGAGACTTGGTACAAAACCTGAACCACAAATATGTCCCTTCCCCCTTTTGTAAATCTGCATTGATTTGATAAGCTTTTAATGATTTATTCCAGTTCTCTATTGTTTTACTGAAGGGCCCTGGTTAGGCGTGTCTCTTAGGGACAGCTGGCATCAAACAGAACCGCTGGAGGCTAGTATTGCACATCTCTGGGTGATCACTGTTGAGTTATGACAGTAGGTGAGATCTGATCTATGCTGGATTGTCTTTCAACTGGGAGGTGGAGCATGTTGAAGGGACTTAACTTCTGCACAGTCAGCACTGTGTTTAAAAAAGACCGTGCAAAAAGTGCAGCACTGAGGGAAGAATTTGGTCCTGGCTGTTGCCAGGACACAGCCTTACCAAATTACGGCTGCTCTATGTAGCCGTAACCCACTGGAAACTTAATTAGACAGACTGACATGTGTACAGCATCTTCTGAGTTCACAAACAAGACTGTAATGCTTGCTTATTTACACTGGTTTTATATCCCCTTACTCCTTAAAACATGCACACACAGGAAGCAGTTTATTTCTGCTGTATGAACTGAAATAACACTCCATGTATTGTTTTTGCCTTTTCCTTTATTTGCTCTTGGTGACACTGTTACATGTAGCTGAATCTGTTCATACAAAACCTTTGCTAGGTCACATTGTCCTCAGTATCCCCTTTCCAGCATGTTTTTGTTGTATCCCTTCACCAACATACTGGTTGAATCGTCTGTTCAGCACGTCATCAAATTTTATTTTTTGCTCTTCAAATGCAACGTTAATATGTTATCTCTAAAAATGAAACCAGCCTGAATGTGTTATGCCATGTTGTGGAAGTGCCAGTGCTAACAGTTAGCTTCTACTGGCTGACATGCTCTGCTCTCTCCTGGCAACAAAACTAAACAAAGCCTTCCGCGGTCACAAGCTAAGGTTGGTAAGTCCAAATTTCACAGTGTGACGTAGATCTGTGTTTTTCTTTTGACCCGAGCGTTTTCCCGTCTATTTTCTAAGCGGAATTAGAAAATAGCGTTTTTAGCCCCATTGACATGCATTAATTTTTTCGTTCTTCCGGGGACCCATGGTCCGGATGTAGATGGGTGTGACTTAGGCTCTCTATTTGAAGTCACGGTCAACAAAAGACGTTTGGACCTAGAAAACAGAGACTGGTGTTTAGCAATTTCTCGTTTCGTCCGGCATCGCGAGTTTCTGGTTCCAGCAGGAGCATCTCTGGGAAGATACCCGAGGGGAGGGGTGAGTGTTCTGTGACCTAGCTTTTATGCAGATCCGGTATACAGTAATCCCTCGCTACTTCGCGGTTCGTTCATCACGGATTCGCTGCTTCGCGGATTTTTTCTTTGGAGCATTTTTCAGGGGGAATTCGCAGATTCGCGGTATTTTTCACTGATTTGCGGTATTTTTCTATGCGAAATATCAAGAAATTCTTGTTTTTTTTCCATCAATTTCATCATAAAATGCACTTTTTGTAATAAAACTAAAAAAAACAAGTAAAACATTTTTTTTCTTGAGTTTTACCCACAAAAAGAGAATGTGATCCTACGATAATTCAATAGGGAGCGTGGTTTCACAGACGCGGAAGTGAGCGTCTGTGAAACGCCGGCTGATCTAGGAACCCCCCGAGCGTTCGAGCGTCAACGAAGTGACACGGAAATGCCGGGCTTTCCAGAAGTAAGTAAGATAACTTACTATGAGCTGATAGTTCGTTGGATTGATCGGTAGGTTGGAAACTCTGATCATGAATCTGAAGAAACGATAACTGAGTGGTGAGCTGGAAAGGCGACTTCCGATTATAGCCGCGGTTTGTGACGTATGTGCGACGTAGAGGGAATCCCCGCGAGGGGCATGCTGGGAGTCCCTACTTCGCGGATTTTCACCTATCGCGGCCAGGTCTGGAACGCATCTACCGCGATAAACGAGGGATTACTGTAACAGCTGTACAGAAATGCAGGCGATGAGGGTTGAAGACATTTTTCACGTTCAGCATGCATGTGAAACTCGGTGTGGCCGATTGTATTTCACAAAGAACGAGTATTAATGTTTCTCAGTGAACCTCCTCTTTAAGACAAGATGATCTGAAATGTTATGAAATCATTTGTAATTCTTTACGAACAACCAGAAATCATCTTATCTCCATTATGCACAAGACTCTGAGTAATGACACTTGCCAGATGTTATTGAGGGGAAAGTAAACTGGTTCTCACCTTTACTGATCTGGGTCAAACTCAGGATAAGTCAACAAAAACAACACTTAAGGAAAAGTTTCTAAATATAATCACATTTTAAACTACTATCAAAGTTGTATAACTCAAATAAAACATTTTATTTCAGTCCGTTCACAAGATACTTGGGTTTGATGAGGCTGACTGTTAAAGTTTTGCTAGGTTTTACGGTCCCGACATCGCGTTCTTAGTGGTGAAAAGACGTAAACGAATAAGTGTATTGTGTGTTTAAGTATGACTTGCTGTTGAGCAAACATCGGCAGACCTTTTTTTTGACAACACTATCTTCAACTGAGACGCCTGTTGTTTGAACTTCGGTTAAAAAATAACTTTAAAAGGAGACGTATTTGCTCAATGTAAGCAGGCTTCCTGCTTTTGCACAGACGTAAACGTGTTTAAACGTTAGTGCTCATCTATGCAGTAAATAAGAACCTAAAGGGGCGTTATTCAGCTGCCACCACTCATAATTTATTCATTTTTAACTCAGATGTGACATTGTCGTGTTTACATACATCTACGTATGTCCATGCAAGGTGGTACGGGGATGCTGGGATCATTACTTGTTGAAAATAAACAGAAGTCTGCGTGTGCAGGTTTACATTTCATAGTTATAACATGGTGGAAAAAGAGATAAGAGGAGTAGCTTGGAAAGTTTCAAATGAACTTCATATAAAAAGTAACGCAAAGCTGATGTTAAGGCTTCTCTCAGCTTTCCCCTCTTTGTGGTACAAACCTCCACCAGATCCTTTTATGGCACACATAAATGGCTGATTATATGCAGATAAGATATTTTAGCAATGCTTTTTATTGATGGGGAAATATTAGTTTAATCATTTACTTTTTCAGTTGCTTAGAGCAACTTTGACTCTGTACGTGTATTATTGTGGAATTCACACGGGTGGAGGAGGCAGGGTAAGTTTCATCAAATCCAAGCGTCTTGTTTCCAGGTTGAAGGAACGGCTCATGAAAATAACTTTTATTTAATAAAAAATGACATCTCAATAGTGCCAGTGGTAATATTTAATCATTTAGCCAGGTCCTTTTAAAATTAAATGTAAACCAGGGTTTTGCCTGGCTCAAATTGAGGCTGCGGTGGTACCATCCTGACCGTGCGCCAGCACATGCGTACTCTGCGCATTCAACTGCTTCAATTTTTTAAAGGCAAAATATTTTTTCGTTAAGTGTTCTAATCTAAGCTTCTGTTGATTAATTGAATATTACATTTGACAACGTTTCAAGTGAAACAAAACTGGTTTGATGCTAAAAAATATGAAATAAAACAACAAAAATGTCAGACTCTTATTATGAAAGGCTCAATAATGTGCATTAGATTGGTGTTTAGTTCCATTTTCTGATTTTTATAGTTAAAATATGTTTAAATATTTGACCTACATTTCAGTAACATTTTAGGTTTGTATTAATAACACTCATCTTAGTCAAAATAACTCATAAATATATCCAGTAAATATAATGCACTTCACTAACATGCATTTGTGTTGGAAATGGTAATAACATTTAATTTCTGCTGCTAGTAATGTATCGGCGGCATGTCTATTATGTACGGGTTGGCAATAATCCAGTTTAAATTATGTTCAAAGATAGAAGCGTTTGTGAATTATATACTACAACGGCTTGCCGTACTTCCTGCTCCTACTGCGGAGCAGACTTGTAGCAGTCATGTGACTCGTGTCTGCAGCGGGTCTGATCCGTAGGATGCAGAATAAACAGGATGGTGGGGACTTTTTATCTGCTTGTAGAGTTTAGTCTTTCTTAGTTTTACGATCATCATCATATATTTTTCTGTGCGCCACTTGATCGTGAGACTGCTTCCCGTTAGCTTTAGCATTAGCCAGTCTGTGTGTAGCTGCACTTTGGATCCCAAACTTTGGACCGGTTCTGCCTTTGCTGGTTCCTTTATTTTCCTCCGCTGCATCCAGATTTCCACACTGTGCACCAGTAAAAAGCATTTTTATTACACGTAACTTACATTTGCTCAATAAAGTTCTGGGGAAAATAGTAATTCAAAGATGTTGCACCAGTGCTACGTTTAAAAATAGAACGACACGCACCGACACCACTGTACAGCCCTGCTCTGATATGGAAGAGCCTCGGGGAAAATCGGGACGTCAATACAGTGATCCCTCGCTACTTCGCGGTTCGTTTATCGCGGATTCACGACTTCGCAAATTTTTTCTTTGGAGCCTTATTCAAGGGAAATTCGTCGATTCGCGGTATTTTTCACCGATTCGCGGTATTTTTCTATGCGAAATATCAAGAAATTCCTGTTTTTTTTTCATCAATTTCATCATAAAATGCACTTTTTGTAATAAAACTATAAAAAAACCAAGTAAGAAATTTTTTTTCTTGAGTTTTACCCACAAAAAGAGAATGTGATCATACGATAATTCAATATAGTACTGTACTGTAAATATGGTGTCCCTACTTTGCGGATTTTCACCTATCGCGGCCAGGTCTGGAACGCATCTACCGCGATAAACGAGGGATCACTGTAGCACCAACCATAGATCTGTACCAACTAGCAAGAAAAGCTATTTTTGATCTTTTTCTGCAGCGATTTCAGTGCTTTTCGGTGCACCGCTGCTGATACAGCGCCCTGTAGTGGCGCAATGCTTCAACTGCAGTTAAAATAACACCCATATAGCTGGGGGCAGAGTGAAATCAGGCTGGGGTGGCACAAAATTAGCTGGAGGCGGCCGCCACGCAAATTTAACACAGGAAAAACCAAACTAAATACCATCTTAGGAGGATTTATATAGGGATACTACAGCATCTGTGAGTGAAAATCTTTTTTATAACTAGAAAAAAGTTTTTGTAGACATGATTCTATTCCTGCTTTGACAACATCACATCACAAGCTTGTTGCTAACTGTGTGCAGCACATGAACATATACCAGAAGGGTCTTCAGATTGCAGCAGCGTAGTTGTTGCTTGTGTCTATAGAAGCTCCTGCTCTTCCTCTGTTTTTAGAAAACCTAACAGATTGCTAATTTTTTGCCGTCCTCTCATAATAACAACCCCCACTTTAGACACATGCGATGCATGAATGTGTTATTGAGGCTGCAGTGAAAATCTGCAAGTGTCTTGATGCACCAAGCAGCCATAATCAAGTCAGATGCTTTAGTGTTTGATCAGCTGATCACTGGCTTGGCTGTGGTCTGGTTCTGGCCAGCAGACGATCACTTTTAGTTAAAAACCAAGCCAAGCTGGGATAATAATCAGTACCAGATTGGTCAGTAGCGGTTTTCAATAGCCGATATGTGGAGGTCATGGTCAGCCAATCGCTGATATGTGCTGCTGATATTTTGGGCAGATTTTCATGGCTGATATCTAGACATTTTGTGCCATTTTCTGAACCTGAATCAGTTTTTGAACACAAAATTAAACCAACTGTTGGATCTTAAGTTTGTGCACTATTCTGTATTAAACTCAAATGTTTAACCAAAGTAAATCAAACAAATCAATTAAACTGAAGCAATAAACAAAAATCAGGTAAATAAAAAGAAAATTCAGCTGAAAAGAATGTTTCAGGACATTTGTTTAACACACATTTTGAGGAAACACACAAACATATATATATACACACTAGGGTTGTCACGGTAACCGGTGTAGCGGTAAACCCCGGTAAAAAAGTTGACAATAATAATTACCGTCTTATTTTAAAAAAACTATATTATCTCGGTGGGTTTACCGTGGCTGCGGTGTAGGCGCGGTGACCCTTACCAGCCACCGTATCATCTGCTGAAGTTGTGCGCTTTGTTGTTTACAACCAAAACTTTCTTGAAGCTAAAGCTGAAATAATGGCCAAAGGAGGAGACGGCAGCGCTCAGGAGGACATTTAAAATCCCTCAAAGAAGACAAAGTGGGAAGTACGGGCATCTTTTGGATATTTGAAGAATGCCGAGGGACAGTTGATAGAAGGCGGCTATCCTGTTTGCAGCACGTGCAGAAAAAGTGTCTGTGAAAGGCAGCAACGCTTCAAATCTCATGACACATCTGCGTGCCCATCACCCACAACTCTACAGTCAACGCAAGGCAAGCTAACGTTAGCGTTTTAGCTAAAATGCGTGATCCGAGGATTTGGGTTGAGGGAGAATGCAACGAGTCGCTATGTAAAGCAGCCGCAGCGCCGCTACCTGCATATAAACCGTGTCGCGGACACCGCCATGTTGAAATGACGCTATGCATTACGGGGCTCCCAGGGGCAGATAAGAGTTGGTCTCTCTCCGAGAATAATTATGAATTTAACAATGATTACTGCCTGATGACATTTTCCCACATCTGCAAAGCTCACTGGAAGGACACAAACCGAGGACGACATTTTCCTGATATAAGGTTTATTACTCAAGTAAGGGTAAAAAAGTATCTGATTAGAAGGCTACTTGAGTACTGAGTATCATCTGATCTAGTATTTTTAAAATGATGACATCAAACAGACATAAAATAAGAAGTTATGGGCAAATATTGGTATTTTAAAGACTAAAGAGGAAAAATGTAAACAAATAAACAACATAATTACAAAATAACACATTTTAGGCAAAATTTAGACACAAACTGAGGACAATATTTTCCTGACATACAGGGTTTATTTAGTTGTGTGAAAATGTAACATGTTTAAAAAAATACCGCGATAATACCGAAAACCGTGGTAATTTTGGTCTCAATAACCGTGAGGTTAAATTTTCACACCGTGACATCCCTAATACACACATACATATATTAGGGCTGGGCAATAAATCGAAAATTTATCGTTATCAAAATTTCTGACACTTATCGAGATAATTTTTCCCATGTCAATAAATTTGATAATAAAAAAAATGAAAAGATGTGTGTAGGTTGGCGATGTTCATGTCCCTTTAAGAAGCTGTACCACCTAAAGTCTCGTAAAAATTTAACTCAAAGTAACATATGTGACAGCCCCATCTAGTGGACAACTTTTGTTTCTGCACATACCTGTAGTTGTCGTCCGTTTATCGTTATTGAGGTGAAAACCTCAATATATCGTGATATTGATTTTAGGCCATATTGCCCAGCCCTATCCTCAAAACTAATAGACTGCAAAGTGTGCATTCTTCTCATGGCTAAAAGCAGAAATTCATTCCTTTTGAAGTACTTTTAAGTGCCAATCAGTCAGGGTGAGGACTTATTATTTTGGCCACCAACTTTCTGCGATAGCTATGTTATCGTACTGTTTTTGTTTGTCCAAATAACTTCTTTAAAGGTGTAGTTGACTGAAAAAACATTTGTAATGATTATTTCGGATTATAATGGGTCAGTCTGAGTTTTCCATGCAGGCTGAACATCAAAATAGTCTCCTACACCGCTCTCCTTCATTAGCTTCTGATAGAAAATAGATGGTGAAACTCTAGGATTTGAAAAGCCTGACAGCTCTACATCACACTGTCATCATACATTCATGGACTCACCCATCTTGGATCGTGACAGGGAAGACTGTTGTTGATTTACCGTCTTGGAAACAGCAGAGAACGTCCTGACTAGTAGAAGTTAACCATTAGCATTAGCAACACCACCACACAGGAAGTCTCCTCCAGGCTTGTGGTCTATGTGGAGATAAAACATCAACGTTGCAGAACACAAGATGTCCAAACATCAGGAAATAAGACTCCAAATCCTGTCGTCTGGAGCTCAGCTCAAACGGGGCTCACTTCTAGTTCCTGAAACAGGCGCACCAGAGCTTTGGTTCCCCAGAGGATGACTTGCAAGGCATAAATTCCTACTAGATTAAACAAATGCTTCACTCCTCTAACACATTAACAGAAATCTAAGATTATAGACTGCATGTTCTTGAACGCTTAGTTTAGACCTTTTATGTAATCAACTCTGCATCTGAAGGCTGTTTATTGCTAATGCAGTTAATTAGCTGAACATTGTATAACTGCATCAAGTCAGCATGTGGTGGGATCAGCTATTACGAGACGGCCGAGATGACAAACATGATCTTTGAACATCATGACTCACGCTTCTCCGGGAGACATCCGACAAAACGTCCCACCGCGTTTACTGAAATCCTCATGACTGCTGCAGGTTACAGCGGTCGGTCTTTTCATCCTCCTCCCTGCAGAAAGCAATAGTCTTCGTACCTGCCAGGGCCGATGCGTACTGTACAAGCATTGTGTGGGTGTGTAACGGTGACTAATCCAATCTGCAGTCTTATCCTGGACTCGGTTGTCACCGAGTCCTTAATCTCTGTGGGGAGAGTGAGAAATCCTTGCGGTCTTAAGCTTGTGTCTGTCTGTTGATCCTTGTAATAGTTTTTATGAATGAATAAAGGGAGTAAACAAAGGATCCTTCTCCCTGTATGCTTCCAAAGCTCTACGTGCAAAGGCAGGGTTTGGCTGAGGGTATTGACAGCTGCCGGTTAGATTTTAAAGAGCTGCTCTCATGTTGTTGATCTGGCTCTGTTGTGCTCAGCTGCTCCGGATCCTCCTCCATCCATTCACATACTCCTGAGGCTTGGGTAGTTGGTTGCCGGGGGTTACGCTTGTTGTTGAGCACAATGTCGGAGCACATGCAGCTCTCCCTCGCCTTGTGCGGAATCGGGCTTTACACGGTAAGAAAATAGACATTTGCTGCTTTGTCTGTTCCTCGACAGCAGAGATGAGCCCTGTTGTGTTTACTCGCGCTGGATTAGGCGCTGTTAGTTTTTACCTCGCTTTAATCTTCCCTTATTGTGTTTTGAGATGGATACAGACCAAACGGAAGTAGCTGCTGCTCTATTAGTGTTCTCCAAAGGGAAGAGCTTAATGTCTTTCTGGCGACAGTATCAAGGTTGGAAACACCAACATGGGCACAGGGGTGGATTTTTACCCCCGTCTTCAGCAGCTCTTAGCAACTGGCTTCAGGCTCTCGTGTAGCTGTCACTCACTTTATGAATATTTAACTCTGAGGCTGAAGAGTTTTTTCTTTTAGTTTTCTAGTCAGACTTGTGGAAAAGCGTTTTTTTAATCAACATTTATTGTTTAGTAACACAGCTGTATTAATAATCAGTTGTTAAAATATAAACTGCAGCTCATGTTGCTTATTGCGAGGCATCCTGTCATTACATCACCAGCTGGTGACAACATTACTGCTCAAAACATTGAAATCATAAAAAACCTTAACATTAGTCTAACCGGAAGTGTGGTAGACATGGCCTGAGTTAGAAATTAAATTTTTTATTGAACTGGTGTTCTCTTTTAAACTGTGCTTTTTCCCAGCCTGTTGTTCTTAAAGGGACATTATGGAGGTGTGACAGCCAAAACGTGTATAGAAATAATAAATGTCTTCTTCATACATTCTCCTGCAATGCCCTGGTCCTGTAGAATGAGCCCTGGCATTTTTACTGTGATTGCCTGTTTTTCTGTAAAATCACAGAAAAAGAGAGATGCTCGGGTCGAGCAGGCTGCTTCATGCGCGTTCACGCTCAGGCATCGCCCGTAGCATTTGCTATCCGTAGCTTTAGCAGCAGAGAGAGAGGCAGTGCCACTTTGTCGCTGTTCCTAACGCCTAGTGACAAAGCTAGCTACATTTCTGAGGACCCTTAGCTACTTTCTGTAGAACTTTCTTCTAGATATTTCCTGCTAATTAGCAACAAAATAGCCATTTTCACTCCGAACCGTTCTTTGGTTTGACGTTGTTTCAGCTGTCATCAAGGATATAAATGTTACAGATACTGTGAATGTTACTAGAGTGTAGCTCACCTAGTAAAATGTCTGACTCTCATGCAGAAGACCTGGGTTCGATTCTGGGTGTGAACATAGTTTATTTAGGGTTTCTTTTTTACATTAATGGTATATTTTTTTTACAGTAAGACGCCCAAATTTTTATTTGAGACTCGCCGAACGGCATTGAATTCACAGATAAAAAAGATGTGGGTTCAACTTTCATTTTGGAACAATTTTTCAAGCAAGGGAAGGGAATGATCTGAGCATGCAGGAGGACTGACCCATCATAAACCTTTGTCGGCTGTGCTGAAGAGAAAGCTACAGAACCAAATTATTTAATTAATTAGCTGCGTGTTCTCCTGTCCTCTGTCCTATGACACACACACACACACCCACACACACACACACACACACACACACACACACACACACACACACACACACACACACACACACACACACACACACACACACACACACACAAGGGACTGTCTCAGCTGTTATTTTCGTTAAGGAGTGTGCACGTACAGCATGCGCGCCTCGTGCACGAGCCTACTATTGAAGCTGCTGTTACGCGTTTGGCCTGAGGGGGCGATCGTGAGCATAAAAATTCAAAAGTCCCTTTAATGTATTGAGACCTTAGACATTACTTGGTGTGTGTTTTTATTTTCACCTAGCTATTCTGGATTTATAGGACACCAGAAACACAGAAACATGCAGTTTATAAGTATTAAAACATTTTAAAAAATGTGAAAACATCTAAAGGTGCCATTTTGTCCTGCAGGCTGTTGTTGTAAATCAGCACGTTTTAAACTTTATATGTATATGTTACAGTTTTTACAGATATGTTCAGTTTGGGCATTGTTTTGATTTTTGCGTATTTCAAGTGCAGGGTTACAGAGAAACCATCTTTTACTTATTCTTTCTGATTTCTTTAAACTGAGTTTAAAGGTGCAATATGTAAGACCATAGTGGGAACTTTACAGTGAGAACATCCCAAAAGAATCTAATGTTTCAGTCATTTTGGAAGGAAGGTTATACTGAAACACATTTCTAATCCAGCTGGCTGCGGGGCTGTGAGTTTTTCTCCTTTCAAAACAAAGGAAGGAGGGACGTAACTACTCTTTATCATCAGTGAGTGTGGGTTTGCTGTGTTTCCTGCATTCAAATACTCCATTGTCAACAATTTCAATTTGATGGTTGCTGGCCAAAAGCTCAAGTTGTTTAAAGTGGTTGCAGTAACCAAATTTTACCACAGGATGTCATTTTTACTTAATTTCTACATAAGACCCATTTAACATGCAGGCTGAATGTGAAAATAGTCTCCTACACCTATTTCCTGCATTAGCTTCTGAAAGAAAATAGATGGAAAACACTTGGTTCAGAAAAGCCTGACAGATCTACGTCACACTGTCATTTAACGTTCGTAGACTCAAGCCTGGTTTATGCTTCTCCGTCTGCGTCAGTGCGGAGACACGCAATGTTCTCGCGTAGGGCTCCGGCAGGCACGCAAGTCCGTACGGAGTCGAGCCCATTTTTTTAAACATCCGTCGAACGAGACGGATTACGCAAGCTTGTGATTGGTCAGGACGCCGCTGTTGTTTACAGCGCCGCCATTGCAAAGAGAGCCGAGGATAACTAGCGGCAGACCCGGAGCAGCTTGAAGAATACCTCGCGAAAAAACTCTAAAAATATGAACGTTTCATCCTCCCGTGACTGGAGGAGTGAAAAGATGCATAGCAAGCGTTTTATTTGTGGACGGAAATGACAGGAAACGTGGGTTTAGAGGTGGCGAGAGCATGAAGAGGTGGGAGAATGAGAGACGAATATGTCCGTGTTAAAAGTCTCTTATATACACAAAAAACACAATATAAACACACGATCCTGGACCGATACATGACAGGATACCACAGAACAGCGCTACGCCCTCTGTTGTCCTGCCGGGCAATTGCTTTGCAACACTCTCCAGGAGACGGAGAAGTATGAGAGCAAAACTCTTCCGTCAATCCGTGCGTGTCTGTCCCTTGCGGAGCTGATGGAGAAGCATAAACCAGGCTTTATCCGTCATGAGTCACGATGGGGAAGGCTGTTGTTGTAGCATCCAGGAAAGGACAGACAACACCTCGACTAAGCTAACATTAGCATTAGCGACTCCGCCACACAGCAGAACTCCTTCAGGCTTGTGTTATATGTGGAGATAAATCATCAGTGTTGCAAAGCAAAGTGAGTCAGTGGTAGAACCTCATTGCTGTTAGCCAATCAAAGGCGAGATGCCCAAAAATCAGGAAATAAGATTCTGCTGTCTTCTGCCAACAAAAGCAACCACTGAACAATCTGGTTGTCTGTCTCGCCAAACCACCACTCTTTCCGCACCACTTTGCTCGTGCAGTTTGCAACAGAACACCACCGGTGTGCGAGGTTTTCAGCGCAATAATATCAGAGAAGGAGAAACAGCCGGCTTCTACCACTTCAACTTTTGAACAAACTTGGCAAGAGTCCCGAGAAGAAAAACACCATTTAAAGTCTTGGACAACAAAAGACATTAAGACGTAGAAAACAGTGCCTGGTGTCTAGCGCTCTTTCCTTTCCTCTGGTTCTGGTTCCGGCGGACGTAGCCTAGGGATGATAGTGGACTGGAGGGTGAGTGTTCTGTGACCGTGTTTGCATTTAAAAGCTGGCTTGTTTTATAGATTTGTTATCCTAGCTTTAAATCCTTATTTCTCCATCTGACTATCTGCATTTGCTATTCGTCTGCTTTACTTCCTATTAAGACCATTTTTATGTGTTTCTACAGAAAGCTGGAGTAGAGTCATGTGCATCGGCAGCAGATTTGAGTTTAACTAGTTGTTTGGTGTATTAAACACTTAATGTTGCATCTCAATAATTATTTATTATCAGTAAAAGAAGTGATGAGGGCTTTGCATCCCACTCAAGTGAAGCATTCCTCATTGTTTCCTCACTGCTTTGAAGTTTACTAGTTAATGTGCATCAGGCTCCAGCATCCACGCAACATTAACATACATTTGTTTACCGAACTAGGACAGTACAGCATGTTTCAAGTTAACTTGGTATGTAACAAACTTATAGCATACCCAACCAGCGTCTGAAATTAAATTTTGTACTCACCGGCCAAGTTGGCTGGTAGATGATGAAAATCTACCGGCCAAAATTCTAAATGATTTAGATCTACCTAAAGCATGTTATTCCATATTATGTTGATTCCAAACAGAGTGGCAAAATAATTAAAACATCAATTAATAAGAAAAACAACTCTTTTGTCATTTTTACTATTTATTTATTTATTTTTAGAGATGTTTTTATGAACTCTTTCGTTGAAATCTAGTCAGACTCCTTGTTTTCTCTGTCCATGAAGTCTGGCCTCCTGCTTCTGACACCGTCTTTGTGCCAAAGCATTACAGCCTCATTTGGGTCCTAGTCCTTGATCTCTGGAGAACACAGCTGCACCGTGAGAATATCTGAAAGTGTGTCAGGGCTAGGGTTGTCACGGTAACCAGTGTAGCGGTGTAGTTGACAATAATAATAACCGTCTTGGTTTTTTTTTTTTATTATCTCGGTGGATTACCGTGGCTGCGGTGTAGACGCGGTGACCCTTACCAGCCACCGTATCATCTGCTGAAGTTGCCGGCGGCACATGCGCACTTTGTTGTTTACAACCAAAACTTTCTTGAAGCTAAAGCTGAAATAATGGTCAAAGGAGGAGACGGCAGCGCTCAGGAGGACATTTATTATCCCTCAAAGAAGACAAAGTGGGAAGTATGGGCATCTTTTAGATATTTGAAGAATGCTGAGGGACAGTTGATAGATGGCTATCCTGTTTGCAGCACGAGCAGAAAAAGTGTCTGTGAAAGGCAGCAACGCTACGTGGCCATCATAATGTAGCCATTGT